TGTATTGATCATAACTTGTTACTAGCATATATTAATTTGGGACTATTAGAAGTTGTTTTAGAACCTTGGGATTTAAATTAGCATGATTTAATTAAAGTTCTACTTTGTTGTTCCAACAACCTAATTGAGTTTTAGAATGGATATAGGTGATAACCATGCCATGTCCTTTAACATGTATTAAATTGAGGTTATTTGGAATTGAATTGGAATCTAGAGAATTTAATTGTGTTTATCTATTTAAATTCTATCACTTTGCTCCATGATCTAGTTGTGTTTTAGAAGTGGTTTCTATGTTCAAATCATGGACTTGGACTTGTTGTATATTCATTTGGTTATGTTTTGAACATTGGATAACATAGTTGCTATGTTTGTATTCATGAGAATATGTTTTCCTTATTAAATATATTGTTGCCTTGTGTAATGATTTACACACTTCGTGTTTAACATCTTTCTGCATAGCGTGTAACGAATCGCACACTGAAGATTCGACATTCATCATATCATATTAGTTATGGATTTAGAGCATGTATTGTATAGGTTTCCAAATTTGGTTGTGCTTAGTAGATAGTTGATTATCTTGCATATTACTGTTAATATATGCGTTATTGCACAACTTGTTGATTTTTGAAACTTGGGGATGTCGTTGTTTAACTATGGCTAGGACGTGGTTCTAGTACAAGGGATAGTCCCTCTATATGGTCTAGTACGCACATAGGGAGGTTACCCATGGGCTAGTAACCCTAAAGTAACTATGTTGTCGGTCTGATCCGGCGTGACGTCCGAGTATCCACTTTGTTTGATTTCGCATTTCATTTTCAAGTTGATAACTAGATGATGTTGTAACTTGTTGTTTCTTATTTTTCGTTCCATTTTAAGTTACAAGATGTTAACTTTGCGAAATTATGCTCTATGTGTTGTATTGGAAGTTCCAATGTTGGTTAAATTGCATCGATATTGAAAATCATGTTTTAACGTTCTAATAAAGCTTAGGATTGATCCTATTGATTCATTTATAACATAGACATTAGGTGGCATGAACCACTACTGTTATTTTGTGCTTTAGATTCTAAGTTGATGGCTTTGAGAACTTAAACCTTGTTGCATTATATAACATACTCTTTTGTTATTGAATTGCATGGATAATATGATTCTTGTTAACTTGTATTCAAATATGCTTTTGTCATGTTGTATGGATTACTCTAGACCTAGTTCAATTGTATTGAAAATGCAATTCATGTTAATTTATGCTCAAGCATTCTTCTTGTCGTGTTCTTTGGATTATCCCAACCATGATTCATTTCATACACGTATGTATATCATGATTCTTGTTGCTTAGATTCTAAGGTAGCTTAGGATGCTCCCCGAGTCTCACTTGGACATAGACGTTAGGTGGCATAAGCCCCTTTGCCCGTTGGGGGGTCGAATTTTGCATTGGCTATATTTTTAAGCCATGGACCATTATAGCGCGTCTAAATAGGTAAGTTACGTTTGCGTGCATAGTCGTTTCTGGGCAAAACCTCATCGTTTGTGTTTTGAGCCTCTTGTGAATTCATTTCGTATTTTTTTTGCATATTCTGATCTAGGGGCATTACGGACCTTTCACCTCAGTTTTATTTTCTTCTTTCGACATGGTCGCTTAGAAAACGTGATTTTAGGGGGGGTTTCTTTTTCGTGTTTTTCCAGAAAATGTCGTCTTGGTACCGGAAATCCCTCGCGAAGTTTCAGCTTCCAGTTTTCATTTAGCAGCTTTATGACCCTCTTGTTCAGTTCTGATCTAGGGGCATTTTGGGGATTTCACAGTGAGTTTTTTTTGTTTCCGTCCACCATGTCGGGTAGAGAACTCGATTTTAGGGGGGGTTTCTTCTTCGTGTTTTTCCAGAAAAACTCGTCTTGACCTCCGTTTCAAGCCTTAGTTCTGAGCAGATCAAAAAAAATGTAGCAGCAACCAAGGGCTGCCACCAGCCATGTCTTTGGGCGCCGGCATGCACGCCGGTGGGCTCGCGCATAGGCGCCGTGTGCGCCATGGCCCCTCGTCGGGCCGCCGCGACGTCAATTCTTCTTTTGGGCTTTTCTTCTTCGTCTGGACTCCGATTCAAGTGAATTTTTTTTTTAACTTGACTAATTTTTCGCTATCTTTCCAACTGTGTGCTCGGTTGCACCCAGTTCTTTTTGGATAATTACCAGTTTACCCTTTTTGCTTTAAGTGCTCGTTTTTCTTCGTCATGCCGTTTTTCCTTCGTTCGGACTCTGAATCATGCAATTCTTGAATCCATCTTGATTAGTTTTTCGTTGTCCTTCCAGCGGTGTGCTCAGTAGCACCCGAATCTATAGTTTTTAGAAATGACTATTTTGCCCCTGGGGGCTTATTTGTCATATTTTCGATCTTTTACTTCCGCATCAGTTCTTGTTAAGTTCCACGACCTCATGGAAGGTCACTTTGACTCCTTAGAGTCTTGTTTTCTGTTTTCGCTTCCGCATTCGAATCCGTTATCGGATCATCCTTACGGTTCATCACAGGACACGCTGGCCTAAAAACCAGGGTCGTCACAATTTCTGCGCTCATCACGTTGTTTCCCACATAGGACACTATACCTATATGGTATATTCTTCGTAGTTACCATAAACTAAATTGAACCAAGTTTTGATCCTTCTTCAGAATTCTGTCAAGTGGGAACTAGTACCAAATTAGGAACCGGTTCAAGAACATGTATTTCGAAGAATACATTATGTCCTTTGGGAACCGGTTCCACTTCCTAGCTACCGGTTCCACCTACTGATACAGTTTAGGATTTAGTTTCCTGCTCTGTCTAAAACTTCCTATTTGGTTTAGAATTATTCCAAAAGTATTATACACGAAAATCACATTTTCCTATGTGTATCTGGGTCTTTGAAAATTTTATATAAAACTCGATTTACATCTAGGTTAGTACGACTTTTGCACTACAACTTCATAATTCTTAAAAGCCTATTAGAGTGATATTTTTGCAGAAAATCAAAGTTGATTTTTCTATCATTCTTTCTAGAACATACAAATAAACACAAGAATGAGTTTAGAGTGTTGTTCAGATTTTGATCGTGATCAAAGTCTTGCATCTACAACGATCAGAAAAGAAGATCTACTTCTTCTACATCAAATTCAGATCTTGAAGAACAGAGGTGAACCGATCACACTTTGAAAGGGTCAAAGCATTCAAAGAGTGTTGTTTGATCTACTAGCAATCCTTCTACAGAGATCAAGATGGTAAAGTGTGTGAGACAGTGAGAGGTTATTTGATGCAGATGGTAACCAACTAATCATATCAGAGTCCATTGAGGGATCCTTCTACAGAGATCAAGATGGTAAAGTGTGTGAGACAGTGAGAGGTTATTTGATGCAGATGGTAACCAACTAATCATATCAGAATCCATTGAGGGATCAGGCAGGGATTGTAAATGAGAGGTGAATGATTGAGTTTCGAAAAAGGGATGTAAATTTACTAGAGTGAAGAAGTTACAATGATTGTTGGAAATTAGGCTATCAATTCCAACAAAAGTGTCAAAGATAAAGAATTTCTATAACATTGAGCTCCAACTTAGCAACAAGAGGTCCATTTGGCAGTTAATAATCCACCTACAAAACTATTTGACTTTTTGGATCAAGTTACAAAAAAAAAAAAAAAAAAAAAAAAAAAAAAAAAAAAAAAAGAACTATTTATTGCAGGTGTACTTGCTCTCTCACTCCTTGCTGGTAAATTTGAAAACCAAAGAGCAATTAATTATGTGACAAATTGGCCTGCAAAGTACAAAAAAACAAGAAATTAACTATTATCACCATGTGACTTTGCATACAGAAGACCTTAGATATATGTTGCTTCGTTTGCGTGAATCCACGACTCTTCACACGATTTTTTTTTCAGAAAATATGACTCTTCACGCGATTGATGGAACAAAAGTACATTACCCTTTCACTGATTAGCGCGCATGGCTTTTGCATGCAATGAATGAAGTTCAGGCAAACAATACAAGTACTTAAATAGGTGACACAACTCTCCCTTTTTTTCTTTTTCTTTTTTATTTACTTTTTTATTTATTTATGAAGAAAGGTCAAATATAATTCTTTTTGTCAAACCACCATTGTGATTGGCATCTTAATAACTAAGTCCTAACATATCAACAGTGAAAAACAAAAAAAAAAAAATATATATATATATATATATATATACACACATCAACAGTAAAATTATATTTAATTATTTTTCATGCTAATATAAATAAGGGTGGATTCAGGGATATGCTCTGTTGGGCTTGAGCACACTCAAAAAATAATAATAATAATAATAAATTAATTAATTAATAGTATTAGTCCATTCCGAAATAGATTAATTCACACCATTATGCATTTTTAGATCCGCTCTTAAATTTAAACATGAATGAAATGATTCTTATTCGAGTGTTTCATGGCTTAAAATAACAATTAGATGACACAAACAACAAATATTTTGTATCTTATACATTCAAACGACACAAATAACAAATATTTTGTATCTTATCAGCATTACTTATTATCATTAAATAAAACTATGTTGAGAATTCTGTAATATGAAATTGTATATTTTAAAGAGAAATAAATATCATTTGAGCCGTATAATCATGTACAATATTGCTAACATATAATAAAATAGGTCAAACCTTGTTGTCTTAAAAATTTATGTGACTTTTGTCCTCTTCCATTTTACAAAAAAAACCAAACCAATATACATTATCTATATATATATATATATATATATATATAAGTGCAAGTTGCCAACTTATCGATTCAAATCAATAGCGTTGAATTTCATATACTCCGTATTCACTTACTTGAAAGCGTTATCCTTGCAAATCATTCTTGACGGGCAAAAAATATATATATATATATATATATATTATAATTACAAATTCAATTAATCATGTAAATACAATTTGTGGAGATATTCTATCTCCCTTATTCAATCTATAACAAAATTCACATACAGACATCATAACAACCTTATTCCAGCGAACATATATTCATCAATTTAAAAAACAAGATATTGTGTATTAAAAAACCTATGCAAACAGAAAAAGTATTTGTCACTTTATGTGGACCCATATGCCCTCGCTAGGAATTTCTTGATGAATCACAAATAAAAGATAATATCCGGATGGTGCAAGAATGCCCGAATTCGGTGTCATCACCCCGACTTCGTAAGTAGATGTTCCTATTTGTGTCACATTTCCGCCTCCAAGCACCAACAATCTTTGATTCATTGAAAACGAGTGTGTATTAAATGATGGTGCCACCATTGTTACAGTGACCATATTTCCATTCAATGTACCTGTGACAGTGAACCGAACCGTTACCCGTTGCCCATACCCGAAGTTAGTTTGAGATACCGGTGAAACAATCTTCGGCCGCAAATTTGCGGATCCTGGATCGAGATAAGGCGGTGAGAATGCCTCCAAACTTAATTCAGTGGGAAAAAAGACTCCAGTGAACACATAATAAATATGAGGATTGCTACCACCAACAAGAACACGACCATCACGAAGCAAAATAGCCGTTGAATGGTACATACGGGGTATTGTGCTCGGGTTCTCTATTTCAAACCGAAAACCATTTTGTTGATCGGGTCGGTAAATTGCCGGCTTCAAAACCGGATTCCGACCATTTTCCCACCCTGCAGTCCCCTGCGCGCCACCGTTAATAATCAAGACGTTCCCGTTTGGTAGTAAAACCATGTCACCCATGACCCGAGCCATAGGCATCTTTTCCATTACCCACTTGGGAGACGAGTCGGTTATTTTGATCCGCCCACAAGTATCCAAAGCGAAGACAAATTCGCCATTTTGTGCGCTGGTGTATGCTCCTTTCGGTGCACCCCCACAAACCAAAACCTCAGCTTCCATAGCCTGTCCTTGCAAGTTCTTCAATGGAAGCAAAACTGCAGAACCTGTGCTCGGATAACACCGAGGATCGCCTCCGGGCATTTGTGGGTACGTCTTCACTACCACATCCTTCGCGTAGTTGAATAATATAGCACGATTATTTGCGAAAATAAACAGATTTCCATCTACATTCAGGAACACAAATGGGTATAGATTGTTCTCTATATTCATGTCACTGGTTTGAACTAGAAATGGTAAACTGTAAGCTCTCGTGGCGGCTGCAGGTTTCGGGTAAAACTCGTAGTTGAACTGCCGGCGACCGCCGATGATAATTTGACGGCCGTCCGGCAATATGTGGTTGGTTGCATACCATCTTCTTTGTGTTAAGCCTGACTTGACTTCTTCCCAATCACAGCTAGAGTCCGAGCATGGCCGGTAAGTTCTGACCACATGATCGCCATCATTAAACCCTCCCGTTTGGATCAGACGTCCGTCAGACATGAGGGCCCCAGAGGAACACCATACGTCCGTGAGCACCATGAGGGGACGTACACTGTTGGTCTTGACATTGTACTCGACCGAGTGTGCCGAGCAGTCGGTGGTTAAAGCGGTGTCGTTTGGATCCATGCGGCATTTGCCGTTGGGCAATGAGATGTTGGATCGGCCGAAATCAGTTCGATCGAATATGACGACGCGGTCGTTGTTGAGGAGCTGCATATGCATGGCCGAAATGCCAATGTTGGGCATTAATACCTTCCAGTGGCCTCCTCTTCCGGCGGCGTGGGTCAGATTCCGGCAACATGGTCCCGTGGCAAGCAATAGTAGCTGGCAGAGGAGGAAGGAAAGAAATAAGATTGGGGTCATGAAGTCTCTGTTTGTGTTCGGATGCTCTACTTTTTGGTCGGCTACTGTTTTAACGGTGAATGTTTTCTGGTCTGTGGCTTTAAATCATTTTTTCAGTTGTAAATGTAGGGTGGGAGTGACATTAGCATACGCAAGTAAACGCGTGGAACTAAATTTCTTTTGTCGATATACAATCCATTTGCAGCTTATGCAAATGTACATATAATATTTTTATATTTTTGTAACCTTTTTTATATTAAGTTATTTAAATAAAGTATAGAAGAGACTAGCTAATACCATCTCAAATACAAATTCTTTCATTTATTTCATGTTTTTTACGAACTCTACCGAATGCGGATAAGCAGAGAGTTTTTGTTACAGACCAACTCTTCAAATTACACGGCTAAGCAAACCCTTTTCAATTCACACTTGAACCCTTCTACCGTGGCTAGACTTTGGGCTTGGTGGTAAATTTACAAACCAAATTGATTTAGGTGTTTTGTCTATGCAAACCAAATTGATTTAGGCCTTTCGTCTATCCAACTCACATAAAAAGATATGTCTGGCATCACTTTATTAGAGTGTAACATCTTTGTCACGAGTATCTTAGTGTTAAGATTCTTGTAAATTAGACTAATTAACAGAGTAGGTTTCCTATATTTAGCATCAATGATTATATTAGGTTACTTGTTCTCCGCACTTGTAAATCAGTATAAACACCTCCATTAGGAGAAGAATAAGATCATCAAAATATTAAACACTGAAATTTTCTTGATATATATCAGAGCAGGTTTCAAAAAACCCGTTTCAAACTTCCTCAAATCCGAATCGCACTGTAACCCGAAGCCGTACTTTGTTGTTGTGATCCCCGTCGTCCATGGCCAAGGACGACAAATTTGAATTTTCAACCGTTCCCACTATTGGGAAACGTGCAAGTTTTAAAAACTTTTCGAGGGATTTTGATTCATAGATCTTGATTCATCACATAGAGACAAGTTTTATGCAAAAATAAAAATATGATATATCATTCAATTAATGGATTGAATACTTACATCAAAGGTCTGAATAAACCTTTAAATCTTTCCTCTAAAGTGAACGTTCTCATTTATTGTAGATCCCTTAGCAAGATGCCTTCTCCTTGAATCTCCATCTTCTTAATAATTGTTTTACCTTTAGGAATCACTCATAAGCCTCCATGAATGACCTTAGAAAATTAGACTTGTGGGAGCCTCCATTAGATGAGAACATAAACCCTAATTTTCTAGAGAGAGAAAATATATTACTTTTTCCTTCTACTAAAAATCACACCAAAAATATACATAGACCATGTATATTTATAGGCAACATAAAGATAAAGAAAAGGAAATAACAAATCATTCTCAATCTCTAATTCACATGTCTCAAATCTAATATGATTCCAATATCAAGTTGGGCTATGAGTGAAAATCCATTGGGCCTATTATTTTATTGGCTACAATGAATTAATAATTGGCTCGGTCCATGGACCCAATTCAATTAATTTATAAATTAATTTCTACTCCACTAAAAGAAATTAATTGAACTCCAATTAAATAATAAATAACATCTAAGTCAATATTGCACTTTGACCCCTCTATGCATAATTAGTTATCGGATAAATAAAGCCATCAATCCAACTACTTAATTAATATATTTATTTTGGTACCTTTGATTATTTCTGGCTCGATCACAATAAAACATTTGTTTGACAAAAATAATAATTTAAATAAATAAATATATAATAAATCATTTTGTCTAAAAACACACAAAGGCCTTCGAATTTACTTTGTGATCGACCATAATCAATACAAAATAAATACAAGTAGGAATGATGCAAATATTGAAAATATAACCCTCTAAGTATTAATTACATAACTACCCAAAGTGTCGGTCTAAGGATCCCGAAGAATCCGCCGAACAAATTAAAGTAATTATTAATTAATAAAAGAGTCTATACTTTTCTCATGCTTAAGAGTCAAATGCCATGACGGTGATAGGGAGCAATTGCATACGACAGCTCTTGCAATATTTCTCAATCCAACGTGGATCCAGTTCAAGTCTTAATTAATTATGATTCCATCCGTAATTACCGACTATGAACAATTTATGATTATTATTTTTATTCATGTATTGATCGCCATCACATACATATATAAATATCTCTTGTAATCAAGAGGATACTATCAATTCTATAATGAATCGAAATATAATACATTGAATTCACCAATTGTACAAAACATAAATATTTCAGAAACGTTAGGAACATATGTCACTTTAATCCAAACAAGAATTTGTTATGTCAGGGATTATAAATCCCAACAACTCCCATTTGCCCTCATAGCCAATTCAAATTGCACCTAACTCCAATGTTATCCAAATGATGATCAAAATTATTGATCAATGACACCTTTGATAATGGATTAACAAAGTTATGTTCCAATACAATGTTCTAACTACAAGTATATTTTCTTGCCAGACAATATCATGTAGAACATGATACTTCCTCTCAGTGTATCTTGTTCCTCTATAGAACCTTGGGTCATTGGTTTGGACTACTTCTGCACTATTGTCGCAACATAGCTCAATAGGCAGGCTAGTATACTCCACAACCTCTAAATTAGTGAGATCAAACCAATAGGCTTCCTTTGCCGCCTTTAAGGCTGCAATGTATTCCACCTGCAGGTTTGAGTCAGCAGTTGAAATCTGCTTAACAATCTACCAACTGATTTCCCTTCCATTAAATGAACATACACTAAGTCATGAACCTCATAGAATCTACTTCTGATTGAAAATTAGAACTAGCATACCTGACTAGGACCATATAATCACATCCATAAATGAGTATGATATCATTGGTTCTCCTTAGGTACTTAATGATATTTTTCACAACACACCAGTTATCAAGTCCAGGATTGGACTGATATCATCTGACTATCCCTACAATGTAGCAGATGTCATATTTGGTATATACCATGGCATATATGAGACTCCCATATGCCAAAGCATACAGTTCCAGTCTCATTTGCTCAATCTCCTTTGATAGTCTTGGAAAACTACTTACTAGAGAGAGCAATCCATATTAATAAAACAAGAACTCATTCTTTGAGTTATGCATACCAAACCTGGTCAAAACTTTATCAATGTAGGATTATTAAGATAAACATATTTTCCTTTTAACTTGATCTTGCAAAAGCTTGATCCTAGGAATATAGTTTACATCTTGAAAATCCTTCATTTAAAAGTAATTGAACAACTACCTCTTTATTGATGACAAAACTTCCACATCATTCTAAATGAGCAGGATGTCATCAATATATATATAGAATCAGAAAAAATAATGACATTCCCTTGTACACTCATGATTTATTCACTAAGAAATCTTCTGGTATCTTTTTGTAGATTAACTTGCCTTCCATAGGTATCACCCTACTAGAAAGTTCTACAAGATCCCAGAATTTATTAGAATACATAGATTCCAACTCTGATTTCATAGTAACTCGCCAAAACGATCTGTATCCATATCGGTTCACGCTTCCGTGTAGCTTACTGGGTCCAACTCCTGTTTAACAGGGATATCCATAATGGTCTCACCTAAAAACATGATTCTGTCGGATTGGATGATAATCCTCCCATTACCTCAATGTACCGATGCAGGAATCTGTGTACTAGATGATACTGACGCATCAATAGGGAATTCATACATTATTCTCAATCTCTATAATAAGTGTGTTCATATGTGGTACATCTGGTACTCATACCATATTCTCTAACACTATGCTACTAGGTATGTGATTCATAATATGATTCTCCTATAGATAAATAGTGAGTGTAAACAATCAACTTTTATCATTGAGATCATAAAATAATCCGTCCTAGTGACTTTTAGAGTAGCTATCAAATCTATCATGCATATGATCTGTTTCCAACTTACTTGTCCATATCAAGCGCACATGTGCAAGACTACCCCATATGTGCATGTGATTCAAACTAAGATTTAGTAAAAAATACAGCTCAACAGTATCCTTGAGACAGACTAAGATGGAATACAATTCATAATGTGCATTGATATCGTCAAAGCTAAACTCTAAAATGAAAGAGATAATATAGCATAACAGATCATAGATCTAACCATGTTAAGCGGAATTCTGTTATTCCTATTTGACACTTAAATCCATTTAGCGTCAATTGCGGAAAACCTGGTACACCATACCCTCATTGACCATATAGTCTTTGCACTATCCCAAGAAATACTCATTTCCACGATCAGATCGGATTGTTTTGATAAGCTTACCTAATCTGTGCTCCACATCAGTCTTGACACTTTCAGAATGTACCAAAAGTTTAAGACTCGTGTCGCATCAGATAAATTTATCCAAAACGTGAGTAATCTTACTTGGATGTTCATAAGACCACACGTGTCTGTGTGTACCGACTCCAATTGTCTTTTATGTCTATTTCATTTGGCTGATTAAGCCCTTAGAGTTATCTATCCTTCAAAATAGGATTCACAAGTTTGGTTTCGGCTCCTTTGCCTCACTAGGTAATAAACCTTTTTTGACCAATCTTTGAATCTCATTTTGATTGATTACAACCCAGAAATAGACACCCAAAAATACAATGAGTCAGGAATAACAAATTTTCTCTTAACACTCAATCTAGAAGATATAACATTAGTTTCTACATCCTGCAAATCTTAAGAGTTTGTGATTATAGTATATTAACCATCTTTCAATGCACCAGAAGCAATTGCATATCTATTTAATTTTATAAAACCAGTTTTACAAAATAACAACACAGTTTTTATAAACCAAAAGTGAAACAAAAAATTAGATTGCGTCTAACTTCTGTGCATAAAGATAATTCTCTAATACTAATATCCTCATACTCTCTAATTTCAGATGTAATACTCCCACTGACTTAACTACAACCTTGGCATCAGGTCAAAAGATAAATATATATCTATATCATCAAGGCTTCTGGATTCCTGAAATCCTTACAATGAATTGCAAACATGTTTAGTGGCTCCAGAATCTATCCATCAGGAATTAATAGACGCAACCACATAACATGGCTCAATGATTAAATATATATTTTCCTATGCCACGTCATTGCTTAGACAGTTCGTCCTTTAGTGTTTTAGTTAGCGACAAAAGAAACAGTTTTCTTCGCCCTCAACATACACTG